ATGTTTAGTGTGTTCGGTCTTTACTGGTTAACGACTGAAGGTAATTAACTAGTCGTGTTACTTTGTGGGCCCATCAGATATGACCTCTTATAATGTTTACTTTGATAAAACTATTTAAAACGTACTCATTGTAAAACCTCATACTCATTTACACTGTTGTTCAAAACACGAAATATTCGTATAACTAACATTATTCACGCATCATGATTCAGTGACTTTAAAGTTATTCACGAGGATTTTCTGTTATGTGTCATTACCCTGATTTATCCTCCGTTAAGTTTAAGTTAAAACAGACGTAAAGCCAGGAAATTCCTTGTGAATTCTTCACTCATTATTTCATCATATCTTCAACATACACAACGTCGTGTTAGTCTGCTTAGGTATCTGTTATTTAATGTTTTTTTTTTCATATTTATCCACGGAAAACACTGATAACTAAAAGTTATACATCTGGATGAATTACCGTTTTGCCTACAAATATAAAGACACAGACACACGTTTCTGAAGAAGCTTTAATTAGGATTTTTTTCTCTATGTAGAGCTTTATCAGATCATGACTTTATACAGCTCCACACAAAGCCAAACGTTTTCCCAGTTTAAGCAACTTGTGGGGCAAACTAAGTGGGATAAACTAACGTTTATTAAGCGGGATAAACAAATGTTCAGTGAACGGAATAAACTAATGTTCATTATTTTACATCTCAACATAACTCAGATAATTAATTATTGTTGTATGATGTGTATTTATGCTTAAGAGACTAATAAACATTAATGTATGTAAGGGGGAGTGAGATTAGATAACCATTACAAGTGCTTAACAACTGTATATATATATTTCGTCAAGCATTTAGGAACGTGATTATGACTTCAGCTCAAGTTCCAATGTGCTGGAGTAACCCGTATGAAGCTCTTATGCTCGCCCAAATTTTACCTAATAAAAGAATATAAGAACTCTGTAGACGTTTTAATCATTTCCTGTGATGTTACACCTGCCTTAAACTAGTTAAAACGTGGCTGGAATAAATTACAGCTGCGCCACCAGTTAGAAAGTATATTTTAGACAACTTTTCAAACCATTTTGAGCTTGGAAATAGTTTTAGACTAATCGAAATGTCGGCAAATTATGGCTTAACTAGAAATTTCCTATACGTTATAGAGTTTGAGGAATTAACGGGACGTTATCAAAAACAAGTGACGTGTTAACACACACATTGACTATTCCTGTTTACATGGGCACATTCTGGATCCCATATACAAAGTCGAACTGCAGCTGCTTGCCCACAAGCTCTGAGATGTGAGGTTATCCAACATTCGACGATGAACCGAGATTAATTGATCTCTTCGGTGGGACCCAGATGCTGCTGTGACTCCCGCATGTGGAGACCTTCCAAATCCCATCCTCAGTGGAATCTCGTCTGGTATTTCTCAGTTCAGTGGAGCCTACACTAACAGAGCAACAGTGCAGCTGTAGAATGATAAGCTTGCGTCTGTTTACTAACAGCCAATCATGATAAAAGACATGGTCAAAAAGTGAAAGGGTTTCTTCAATACAACCTGTTACTGAACACTTAGGCGACAAGAATTACCAAAAGGATCAGATACAGAAAAGTGATAATATAATCGGAACATCTCGTAGTGTTGTTTGCCATAACACCAAGATTTTGCATAACCCAGACCGATTTTAGTCTGGTATCATTTAGGTAAAGTCAGTCAGGTGTCAATAATAATGAACGGTTTTCAATATAATTTTGGGGATGTGCCTGAGTTATGTACACTAGAATTACACGCTAAGGATGTGTATAATACTGTTGTTATCAATTAACAAGCATTTCCTGCTAAGAGATCAGTCTGTTAGAGGCAGAGATCTGCTTCTTGAACGTAAACAATCTCACAGTGTGGAATTTTGGCTTCTTAACTCACATTAAATATATGCGAGTTAAGTCTTTGGAATGGCTACAATATTTAATAAACCATACCACGGGTAGGGATAGAACCAGCGACCAGAGAGTCATAAATCTCCAGACAGACGCGCTAGCCACTGGACCAGCTAGCCACTGGACCAGCTAGCCACTGGACCAGCTAGCCACTGGACCAGCTAGCCATTGGACCAGCTAGCCACTGGGCAAACTAGCCACTGGACCAGCTAGCCACTGGGCAACAGCCACTGGGCCAGCTAGCCACTGGGCCAACTAGCCACTGGACCAGCTAGCCACTGGGCAAACTAGCCACTGGACCAGCTAGCCACTGGGCAAACTAGCCACTGGACCAGCTAGCCACTGGGCAAACTAGCCACTGGGCCAGCTAGCCACTGGGCCAACTAGCCACTGGGCCAGCTAGCTACAATAAGATTCGTCCAACTAGGTATATTTCTACACCATAGGAAGGTTAGCACAGGCACCACTGTGACCACAGTTAGCGCGACCGTGACGAACTCTAGCTCATGTCCCCTCAAAGCCGTCAACATGACTCACGAAACTATAATGACACGATTGAAGGTTCTAACCCCGCCCGTGGTATAGTTTGCTTGCAATCGTGCCATTACGATTTCGTAAGTCATATACAGTATTTAAAGGCAGAAGCATCCTAACGCCAAGATATTACCCATGATGACACTCTTCAGGTCACTTGTTCTATCTAGGCTGGAATATTGCTGCACACTAACAGCACCTTTCAAGGCAGGTGAAATTGCTGACCTAGAAAATGTACAGAGAACTTTCACGGCGCGCATAACGGAGATAAAACACCTCAATTACTGGGAGCGCTTGAGGTTCCTAAACGTGTATTCCCTGGAACGCAGGAGGGAGAGATACATGATTATATACACCTGGAAAATCCTAGAGGGACTAGTACCGAACTTGCACACGAAAATCACTCACTACGAAAGCAAAAGACTTGGCAGACGATGCAACATCCCCCCAGTGAAAAGCAGGGGTGTCACTAGCACGTTAAGAGACCATACAATAAGTGTCAGGGGCCCGAGACTGTTCAACTGCCTCCCAGCACACATAAGGGGGATTACCAACAGACCCCTGGCAGTCTTCAAGCTGGCACTGGACAGGCACCTAAAGTCAGTTCCTGATCAGCCGGGCTGTGGCTCGTACGTTGGTTTGCGTGCAGCCAGCAGCAACAGCCTGGTTGATCAGGCTCTGATCCACGAGGAGGCCTGGTCACAGACCGGGCCGCGGGGGCGTTGACCCCCGGAACTCTCTCCAGGTAAACTCCAGGTTACACACTAACATTAGTTGTGTTCGGGCAAATTTGACAATGCTCTATTATTTTACATACCGGTATATAAGGCGCCTTTTTTTTCTACAGGCAAAAAGTCTTTAAAAAATCACGCTGCGTCTTATATGCTCAAGGTCAGGGTCAAGAGTAACCTTTGTGTTACGCTTTAGCAGATGTTTACTAACGTTACGTTACAGATGCCTGGAAACATTGTCTTGCATGTCTTTTATTCTCGTGCGAATTTGTGCAGTAACTGGAGAATTTTTCGATTTTCTTCAAAATGGACTGCATAAGTTCCAGTTTGCTAGTGTTATTATATATAAATAGTGATATTGAGTTACATTCACTAACTAAAGAAAGCCTCGTCTTATCGACTTCAGAATATTAATGAAAATGAATTCCATTAGAAGGAAGACATCCAATAAGTCTAGAGTAATTAGGTACAATTTTTAATTTTTTATGTAACTTTTGAAAACAGGTATTGTTGGTTTCAGAACAATTACTATCAAATGTTTTTTTCGATAGAGTATAAACTTTTAATATTGATAAACTTTGATGAAAAAAAGTTTGGTTTTGAGTGCTGATGTTTTTAAGTTGTTAATTTTATTAAATAAACTGGTAACCATGTAATAAATAAGGGACGTCTCTTCTGGTCGACATCAAATATTTAATTGTTAGTGAGTTATAATTAGTAAAACTTTTTACTGAACTTGAACTTTGTAGATGCCAATCTGCCAATTTTATAGAATTTTTATCAAGTTGAACTTTCCTGGAAAGTTCAACAATTGTGTTGCAGAGGTCTGAGCTTTACTCAGACCTCTGCAACACAATTGTTCCAAGTAGATAGAAGTATTGGGAAGGGAGGTGGGGTGGCATTGTATGTCCGAGATCGCTTGAACTGTTGCATAAAAACGGGTATTAAGTCTGAAGTAACACATACAGAGTCTGTTTGGATAGAATTTTCAGAGCGCCATGAAAAATTTATTTTAGGAGTGATATACCGTCCCCCAAACTTAGATAGGGACCAAGGGAGACTACTATGGGAGGAAATTGTTAAGGCCACAAGGCACGATAATGTAGTAATTCTAGGAGACTTTAACTTTAGTCATATTGATTGGAATTTCTTGATTGGGAATTTAGAATCAAACGACTTCTTAGAAGTAGTTCAGGATTGTTTTTTGAAGCAGTTTGTCACAGAGCCTACAAGGGGAAATAACCTGCTTGACTTGGTTTTGGCAAACAAGGAAACCCTTGTTAATAATTTAGGAATAATTCAGTACTGGTCCCAGATTTTCGCTTAGCAGATTACAATGGGCTTAGAGAACACTTATCATCT